TTTAAATGAAGTATTTAACTAATTTTCCTCCCGACGTGTTTATACGACAAGTGATTCATGAAAAAATATATTTCTTTTAAGAAGGAATGTCAAACACACCTTTAGAACGAGTTGGAGATGACTTCCAAAAGAAGCATTTTTTAAGTTGAAACATTTTTTCTTTAATCACTTCGTAAATAAGTTGACTATTCTCGAAAAGAGAAGCACTTTATAAAGTATTTTTAAGTATTATTGAGATTTTTAAAATCACCTCAAACACTATGAAAATGAATGATAACTCCCTCTCAAAGCACTTTTGCCAAAAATCTCACCCCAAATTCACCCATAATATAATTAATTTAGTGATTGGTGAGTTCATTTTAATTTTTTTTATGGAAGAGTTCATTTTAAATTTAAACATTGAATCTTAAATTTAATTAGGCGGGTGACATTATTAATTTTTCAAAATTAAATTAGAAAAGTATTCACGAATTAATTAATAAATCACGCAACATTCAACAAATATATCACTAAAATTATCTAACATAAAAAAAAGCTCAAACTCAACTATGAAAATACTTGAACCTAGCAACAAAGTCGAGCAGATAAAAAAAATTTTCATCCAACTATACTCATATGATTTTAGTCGCTATTGTAAATTTAACTATCATAAACAATCTTATCGACTATTATTTTTTATATAAGATCTAATTTTTGAACCTCTAATCAATAAAATTTTTAGTTGCCCTCCTTTGTTAAAAGTATATATTCTTTAGAAAAAAAAACCCTCAATAATAATTGAAAACTTATTTGTCAGCCTAAAACAAAATTTTGATGACAACATGTCTACAGCTCAATTTTAGCGGTTAATTAAAGTATTTACTTCCTCTTAAAAAATGTTTGGCTAGTTTTATATAATATCTTTCATGTTTTAAAATTTTTATTTATATGTGACTATTAATTATTTTATATGTCTAATTTGATTTAAATGCGTTTTACTTTAAAATAATATAAAAATAAATAAAAATAAAACAGATATTTCTCCATGCTATTTTAAAAATTAAATACAATAAACAATAGCTTCAAAATATTAAAACAAAAGGCAACAAAAGGCAAGATATACTCGGCTATTTTACGCAATTTATAATCTTTGTAAAAATAGATTAAAAAATAAAATTAATTTATTTGTAACACATACAATAAAATTTGAAAATTATTTTATAAATAATTCCATATTCATTCCATTCAAGAAATCATCTAGAACTGCAGGCCTTCCTCTATTTTTATTTTTTTGTTTTTGTTTTTGTTTTTAATTTAAAGCTGTTCATGCAAGTTGATTTGAAACTAGATTTATTTCTAAAATACACCTTTATTATTTTATTTAGTAAATTCTGGAATGTATTTCTATAAGAAAATAAAATAATATTAATTGATAATCAACCATCAAATCAATGGTAGTACGAAGTTTTCCTTTTTTAAATGTATAATTGCCGGCTTATTTTAGTGTCATGTGTGAACACATGACTCCGGCCCAATTTTAATTTTATTTTAATTTATAGACTTTCTTATTTTCTTTATTTTAATATTTAGAATTTTTAAATACTTTATTTTCATTATTTTTTGTTGAGTACAACTATTTTCTTTTCATTATTAAACTTTGCATCAGAATTATTTAACCATTGTCATTAATTCTTTAACAGACAAATCTTAGTTCATTTAAAAACCCGGCATTTGACTCATTATAATTAGTTTTATCTAACAACAAATGAAAAACTCGACACAACAAGGGCTTCTTCTTCTTCTTCTTTTTTTTTCTCTATTATTATCATTTTTTAGTACGGCAAGCTTTTGCTAAATAAATTTAAAATATTATAGATCATAGTTGAAATTACTTTATTTAAAGTTGAAGGACTAAAATAAATATTTGAAAGATTATAGACCAAAACAAATTAAGCATAAAAATTTTGTGGTCAAAATAAGATTTGAATTTTTTTTCTTTTTAGTGAGATAGGAGAAAAGAAATTATCAAAAACGTTATTGATGAACTATGATTTTGCTTTTCAACCACATCATTAGTACGAGGTGACACAACTTAAAGAAATAGAGGTTGAAGTTTGATTTAGCTCTATCCTCAGTTTAAGTCTAGCTAGGTTAAGCCGACTCAACTTCCGATAGTTAGGCCTCATAGTTCAACCTATAGGATTATATCGTTGGATAGATCTTTTGGACTCAAAAGATGTATGACACAAGACCTCTTGTCGTCGGACTTGTCTTTTAGTCATTGACTACTTCTCACTCATTAGTTCAATCAATATACATTTCCATAATCATTTTGAAGTCGTATAGCTATTTCAACTTGACTCCCTCCTGCACAAGAAGTTCCTGCACCACACAGTTCAACAGGGGAAGTCTGTGTTTGTCTTTGTTTGTCTTATAATTTGAGTGGTTGTATATAATCAGTTTTCTACCCTGTTTGTTAAACACTTTAAACCTAAATTGAATGTAACAATCTTCCATAACATCAGAATTTAACAATCAATCATTACGACGATTCTAATAACTAATGGAATTACTAATTAAATTGCAATATCTGAACTTAACTAAAGTTTCTTGACTTTATTAGCCCAACCCATTACTATTAAAACAAGCAGCTTTGATGGATAGAAAAGAGTACTGTATATTGTGCAAAGTAATTAATTATCTTTTTTTTGAACTATTTTTGTATTTTAGTTTTCTTTACAATTAAAATATAGAGAAAATAAAGCATAAAGATCTTGAGTTGACTAGGTATATTTTCCTCCCTCCCCAATTTCTTCTTTTTAATTTTTATTTTGTTGCCAAATATTATGGGAGTGAGATAAAAAGAAGGTTCGAATTATAGTTATTAATAATACAACATGTTTAATTTTAGTGATTATATTTGCATATATTTAATTAATATCCACATATAATGCTAGAATGAGAAAGAAATTAAGATAATACATTGGTAATGTAGATTTTTATAGGAATATGAACAAAAGTTACAATAAAAGAGTGTGAGAAACTAACATCATCATTGGCCTCCATGTCAACTTTTTGCCATTATTCATCCAGTCAAAAGCTTGGAGGCCCATAGGTTGACCCAGTGTGCTAAAATTATTTATTCGAGCTGTTATAATATATAGTCGAAAAATAACGTAAAAATAGAAGTTACAAATATTACTCTTTGTCTCTGCCGTTCAAAAAAGTTTTAGTCACATCTTTAATACGTTGAATTTTAACTTTATATAGTTCACATCACTAACATTACAAACTAAACACGCATTGTATATTTATTGAACAACGAGTTGATTTAGTATTAGTATAGAAGTAGACATCAGAACAATAAAAAAACAAGTAATCTAATACCATTAGACGATGAATCTTCAAATCAGTTAGACAAAGATAGGAATGGAACTCTTGTTGTTTTCCCTTTGCAAATTTGAGGATGAAAAAGGACACCCGACCTAGTCCTAGACATAGATATCCACCAAAAAGTTTCATTAGGCACAAAAAGGAGAGGTTAGGCGTGAAGATTTGAAGGAAGTGGAGCCAAAAAAAGCACTAAAAATTGTCCCATGAGTAGTGGGGACCCACTTTGGTGGGCATGATTAGCAATCCATCATGAATGTGTTTGAAAATGAAAGAAAATAAGGAGGAGGAGGAGGAGGAGTAGGAGTAGGAGTAGGATGGTCAAATATTTTAAGCGCATGCTTACGTTTTTCCTTTACTTCTTTTCACTCTTTTTCGGCCCCAAAGTCTTTCTCTCACCCCTTTTTTTCACCCTTTTTTAATTTCATACATGGAAAAATAAAAAGAAAAAAGAGAACAAAATTACTTTATGGGCTCTTAAAAATATTGAAAAGCATGAATCAAAATAGTGAAGCTCATTTTTTCATTGACTTTAAATGTAGCTGAACGGGTAAAGGGAGTATTTCAATTATCTCCACAATTGCATGGTATTGTTCGTTTTGAACATAATTCTCACGACTTTATTTTTTGGTTTAACTTGAAATGTCTTATATTAATGAAGATAATTGTCGTCTCCACTCTAATGCCACTTGTTAAAAACAATGGTACCCAAATACTCTAAGTATATCTACAATGGTATGATAATGTCCGTTTTGAGCATAACTCTCACGACTTTATTTTTTATTTCACCCAAAAGATATAATAACAATAGAAATAATTGTCATCTTTTATATTGTCTACAATCATTCCCTTCTTTAGTCAATTTGAAACTTTATTTGCACACCTTTGTAACCCTAATAATTGATGATTTGGTTAAAATTTCAGTAACTTCCTCTCTCTAAACCCTAATAGTTGATGATTTGGTTAAAACTCCGGTAACTTCCATTCTCTAAAGGTTGAATGGTTAAAGATTTGAGTCTATCCCTTCTTAAATTATATATACATATATAAATTTCATCTCTTATATAATTTGTTATTCTCTTCCCAAACTCACTAAGATAGAAAACGAAATCTTACACAAGATTAAGCTCAATCAATTCTCATGATCCACCATTGAATCAATCTTTCCAAAAACTTATAAATAAAAAAAAAATTCTAGTTTTAGTGTTGTTTTTCTATAAAACGTCATTGTACTAAATATATGTTTTATAATTCATCCAATACAAATGAGCACATTTTTTTAGTGATACTTAGACAAAAATGTATGAAAAGGTAAAAATTACCACACTTATTAAAATTTAAATGAAAAAATTATAAGAATTGTTTAATTTCAAAATCTTAATTTGATGGAAATTGAAATTTTAGAGTAATAATTGATACTTTTCTCCTAAAAAGTATTATAAAAATTAAAAATAAAATCCTAAAAGATGTATCCTAAGAGACAACATTGGCCTTGTATAGAAGTTTTTAACGGAATCCGAGCTGGCAAAGTGGGGTCCACTGTGGTTCCTCTCACCGTTGACTAAAAAACAAATTTAGCGGTTTCTTTTTCTTTATCGGTGTGCTGCCATGGCCGCGCCGGGTCCCGCTAACCAAAATCACACCTGCCAATGATTCCCTCTCAATCTCACTCTCACTCTCACTCTCTTTCCCTTTGATTCTCAAAAAGCAATTCAAACAAAGCAATCCATTTTGATTTTGCTTTCTGGGTTCCGTTTTTCCTGAAACTCCCCCAATTTACTGCATCTCAATCAAAACAGCTCCCGACCCAGCTTGTTTTTCCCTCTAATGGCGGACTGACGGTTCATCTCTGCTCTTGGTTCCGCTTCGATTGGATTCTTTCCGCCGCGGGGAGTGAGTGGGTGAGATTTGGTAATTTCTGTAATGTGGGTGTGGGGGTTTGGTGTAGTGAAGGTCGGTGAAATCGCCTCAGGTTTTGGAGGGAGCAGCGGCGGAGATGAAGCG